CAAACCCACCCACCTGTGCCGTCAAGCTGTTGCAAAGAGCAGACCCAGTAGACTGACTCGCCACCCTGCCTGCAACCATGCTACCCAGTCTGCAGCAACTCAACAAGCTAGGATCAATCGGAGCAATTACTTGCATGGAAATCAGCAGTGGCAGAGCATGTCTAGCTGTTTAACACAATGAATATGTTTTAGAAACATTCTGAGAAGTCACCCAGCTACTGTTACTCCTTCTTCCCCCACACACACTCCATTACAGAATTACAGAGTCTATGGAAATTGCTCTGTACAGACCACCACCAAGCAGTGCAGACAGTGCTTTTTGGGAACCACAGCCCTCAGTAGCAAATGCAGTGGATAATTATTCATTCCTGGTTATCCACCTGTACACACATGGATAAATGCATAGCTCCCATCTCCTTTCACTTCGGCTAAGTCAAACCATCAGTCCAACTTCACATGCTGGGAAGCTAAGAAGTCACTGGGAAAGCCAGACCTGGTTTCAAATGGTTTAAAAGAATTCAGAGCCATAAATCTGCGTGTACAGTTGTCCCTACCAACTTAAGAACTGCTCCCTCACCTTTTACCCTTCATTTAATTTAGCCTTGTTGCAAACCAGGTTCTCTGATATCTAGGGTAGACATCAGTGGCAACAGTCACACTGTCCCATGTCCAGCCACTATTCCTACAAGCCTCTATACAAGCAATTTTAAGAAAAAAAAGCAATTTAGAAGAGCAGCTTCATTTGGACACTGAGAAGCTTCCTTTTCAAGGCTTTCTCTCCCTCTTGCCACTGGCTGATCAAGGAACCTAACACCATGGCTGAGATACATACCTCAAGTAGGTGGTATAAATAACCCCACACTCATTTCCAACCCACACCTCACCAAGGACAATGGAGCTACTGGATACTCAGCAACACGGTTACAAAGAACAACCACAATTGCATTTCTTTGGAAAAGGGCATTCCTTACCATGCTATTGGAGGAAGACAGTCTACTGTGCACTCCAGACTGGTCCTGTCACACTCACCCACATTACTGGTTTCTAAACATGAAGTTAAGCCTCTGCTAGCATTTTATGATCCTGCACGCTGCAAGTGATGGTCCTTGGTGCCTGACTGTGCCCAGGGCTGCACGCACAAAGCAAGGTCAACATCCATTTGGTGCTGCTAACATTCCTGCCTTTGCTGAGTGTTATAGGTGTTGATGCTTTCCTTAAAATATCAGCTACAGGAGATGAGTGGTTTATAAAAGAGCTGCATCTCCATTTATTTGAGTGTGCTGCTAGCCCTAGAGGCTAGCGCAGTGTAGAACAGCTTGAGAACATGAACCGAAAGTATCCTCAAGGCTGTAAGACAGAAGGACAAAATGGAAAAAAATGTTTCTTCAAACCTCACAATGTTTAAGCTGGGTCCACATAACAGGAGTACATCCTTAACATCACAACAAGTGTTCAAGGCACAGCACAATTGGTATATTTCAGTATAAAGCACAGTCAGGAAACTACAATTTCTTTCCCAGTCTCAGGTCACATCATTATAAAAAGATTACAGTATAGAACAAAAAAGGTCCTTTTCAAGTCACTGCACTGAAACACATGGTTAGATACAGCTCTTTACACAAGGGTTTTCCCAGCACTGTTACATGTTTCTGTGAAGTTCATTTCACCCATGAACTTTTGAAGCAAAGGGCTCAGCAATGCCACATGTACGAACACCATCACCACCTCTTAGTCCTGAAATTCATGCTACGGCATACGAGACCCCACTGACATTTGTCAGACCTCTGTTCAAGGGAAGGTCCTCCTTCCTTGCTTGGGGGGGGATGCTCCAAGGGGAAATTTCACACACACACACTCTCACATCACCTGAAAGGTTACAAATGCTGTGAGGATTCACTCCAGCTGACTATATTAAAGCCAAAGGTCTGATTATTAATCTCTTCCTCACTAAGGAATTCTGCACATGACCTACATAAAGGCTCTACATCACTCCAGTCGTGTCAGGACTGCTTCATGCCACCATCACTTCCTTCTGCACATGCTTGGGCATAGCCAAGCAAGCAAGCTTGATACGCATGAAGTTAACTCTGTGCTATTGGTTGCATGTTTAGCACATTCTCTGTCAGGTTCCACAGCTTGTTCTGAGCATTCCCTTGCAGTGCCAAGACCACCCTAAATACAGGCTGGCTGTGTCCAGATGAGCTCCAGCCCCCCCCACAGTGAATGCACTCCTGCAGCTGAGTGAGAGGTAACCAAGGCAGCACATCCTTGCACAAGTGTCTCATTACTAAGGTCAATGAAGCAGTCAAGAACAGGATCCACAAAAGCTTCAAGCATCAGAAATGTTATCCATTGTGCCCCAGTAACTAAGAGGCTTTGTCCTGGAGTCTCCTGAAAGGTTTTCAATTAATTTCTCACTTTCAGAAAGATTTTTTCTTTATCTTGTTCCTTGCATAAGGACACAAACTGTGCAATTAAAATTAAATTAGGAACAAACCAGCCAGTTGTATCTTAGAGCCATGACAAGGGAAGCACCTATTGCATTCTATCACTTGCCTCGTTCTGAGGTCAGGCTCTATACAGAAACACAAAAACAACAACAACAACAACAATAAACTTTGACATTTTACAGCACATTTTCTAAATGTCAGCCTGTGCACCTGTAAAGTGCAAAGTAGACAGATTTGCTTATGTTTCTATACCAACATTCATTTTTATTGGTAGATAACTCAAAACTCAACTAGATCCAAGGACAAAAGAAACATCTCATGCACCGAACCCATACACACCTTCTCAGGCTACAGCGTTCATGCACCTATGCTGTTGCAAATTCAGGTTTATCCTACTGCAGATGTTATAGTCATGCCAGAGGAATCAAAATGCAAAATGGCTTTTCTCTCAGACAGACACATTCTAACCACTCTTCATTCATCTCCAGATGTGGAGAAGAAAAAAGATTTCCCTGTGAGAGCTTAGAACTGGGAAGAGCAATCATTAGTGGGTTACATGTTAAAGAACAGCAGAGTCTTCAGAATCAGGATCTCCTTGTAATAAATGCAGCTCACCAGAATACGTTGAGAAGACAAAAAGTGAACACTAACATATAAGTTACACATTACAAACACTCCCATCCTGCTTCTTTCTACCAAGCAAAGTCAGATTCTGAATTTGAAACAAACTCTGAGAAGTCAACACTCGTTTTGGGAAGTCTCCTTCACCAAGCAACCGCAATGCTAGAAACAGCCTTTCCTGGCTTCCCAGCCCAAGCTCAGGCTCCAGGTTTCTACATCTGCCGTATGACACACTACATTAGCCCAAGGTTTAATATATTCTCTCATGCTGCTGTCCTTTAAAAGAATTAGCATTTCCTACATGCATATCCCATATTGGCCTTACAAGTATCTAAATGCTATGATGAAATTTAAACTAAATATAGAGGTGATATTTTTAAATAGCTCTTAGCTCCAACTCACCAAGCTGATTTTGTTTGAACGGAAAAAACAGGCTCCAACTTTAAGCTTCCATTGTAATTAATGATTACAACACATTCCTCTGCCGTATCAGATTTAGCACCTCATTAATGTGTGTGGTATTTTTCTTGTATGGCACAGCTGTAGTTAAAGTTGAATTAGTGTTTCCATTATAAACCCATGTTTTCAAAGGTTTATTACTCAGACATAAGATTTAGTCTGAAATGAAAATTGCCACTGAGTGTGTCAGCTGGGAAGCAATTTTTTGTCCTTCAAAATTTGGAATGAACAAAACACAAAAAAAGCCAGCCACCCTGTTTATTAATAATTCACATTTTAAAAAGCATTGCAAATACATGTTTACATGATAGCCTGTGACAGCTCCCTAGAATGTCAACACCCACACACTCCTGGGAGATGTGTCATCTTAAAAACTGAAATAAAAGCCACATTTTTACACCACTTGATGAGAGGCGAGGAGAAGGGAAGAAAGACTTAAAAATAATATCGACGAAGGAAACTTATTAAAAAAACTCCATAGTCTTTGTTTAGAAACATTAAAGTTGGGACCTTCAATGGACAAGGAAACAATTTCAAGTACTTTTAACTTTCTGGTGCCTGTCCCTGGCTTACTAATGCATTTAGCAAGAAGCAGCCAGTCTCACTGAATTCCTATTACATATGGCATCCAAGCCTTCAATTTCCCATAAATCCTGGACTCTTAAGGTATGATGAGTTCATGCCCTTTCCAAAAGCATGCTGAGCTCTGTGTACAAGGCAAAATGTACAACAAGAAAATCTCTGGGGGCTCCACACTTTGCAATTGTGTCTTTCTACAATTAGCTTTAAGATGGAATCTCTGAGAACAGACCTGTTAATTGGGAGGCTTCTGAGGCCTCCTCTTGGCTGATTATTACCCTGATTATACGCTTTTGACATGCAAATTTACAAACAAATGTATGATGAAATAACCAAATTCCTAGTTACCACCATTATCAGAATGGATGCATTTTTGATGGCTGAGAAATATTAAAATGTTACTTTTGTAACACAGTAAAACTCACAGTTATTTTGACTGCAGGACTTATGGGTTTACCCAAGACATCATGTTTCCAGATAAAAACAAACACATGAAAGAACATGTAATAGCTACTACAAGAAAACTAGGAGAGGCATATCTTTCATGAGCAGAAAGGTAGTGTTGTTACTCAGAATTGCTCACATTTTGCTCTTCACTAGATTAACAAAACACTCCCACAACAGAGAGAGAGTGGGGAATGTGCTTTTTTACCCAGTGTTGCCCTCCATTTTTCAAGATACGACTCCAGACAACAAAGATAATGGGAGCATGGTAGCAATTGTATATCCATTTGATCAAGTTTTGGAGGTCAGTATAGTCTATCCAAAACCCTGCTGTTTTCCACACAAATAACCCAAGACACAGCAAATGGGTTTATCTCTGTTCTCCCAGTAGTCAAAGCTTCAAGAAGAGGCTGTACATCAAAGGCAGTATAGTACTGTGATACCTACCAAAGCCCTCTTGAACTCTGGACCTCTCTTTGTAGTGTTTTCTTCTCCCTTGTTGCCCCATGCATGGAAGCTCATCTCTCTTTTCAAAGCAGAGCTTCTTGTTGATGAAGTGGAAGAGGACTGCAGGGAGGATAATGAAGACTCCAATGGCAGATAAAACCCCAGCTGTCTCAGGACTAACTAATAACAGAAAGTTAGAAAGAAAACATCAGCACAAGTGGGAAAATTGTACTGAGAAAGTTGTGCTTTAACCACATCTGTATCCACAGCTCTGATTCCCCATCCCTTCTATAGAAGAAATGGCATTGAAATTCAGCAGAACTTGGACTTGCATTAAAGGCATTAAACTTTCTGGTGCCACCATCCACATTGGGCTAATCGACTGGAGACACTTTGGTACATGTAATGTACCACAGTGTACATTACACACCAAACTTGGTTCTGATCAAGGTCTTCATTTCTGTCACATGATGAACTCCAACACAGAAAGGCTCTGATTTTAATAACAATGCAGAATTCCACCAGCCTCAAGAGAGACACTCTGAAGTGCAACAAGAATCAGCCAAGAAACAGCTGTTGGTCATAAATCCTTTCTGCACAGCTTGTGGTAAATTCTCAGAGGCTGCTGTGAGAGGGGAGCAACTTAGGGGTCAAAAGATCCCAACACCTCCTTTGCAATTTTTGCATTTTCTTTTAAACCACCAGATTACACTATAAAGGTGCTCATGAACTTCGTTACATTTACTAAGACCCAGGTTAATGGATAGCCTACGATCCTCTTTCAACTGTTGCTTTACCCTTAAGTAAGAAGTATATTACTGTACTACACAATTACCATTCTTTGCTGCAAAAGACCAGCCTCCAGCTCAAGTAATTCAGTTTAGTTCCTTTGGTGTCAGGTTTGGCCACATAATGAGCACAGTGGTTTTGCACCAGCTGACAACCTATTACTACACATCTAAATGATCCCTATGTCAGACTGCAGAGAAACAATCTTATTTCAATTTATCATGTTCTGCCTGTACCACTGGGTCTGCAACAAACCACAGGCGCCAGGAAAAAGCTTTTAAAGCCATTTCACCTCTCTCACACATATCAAAATGCCAAAACAAAGGACAAACAGTACATACATCATCTGATGTGGATGGCAAGGGCACACACATCAAAAACTGTAAGTGCCATCTAAAAACAAAAAGGCTTGTTTTCCTGGTAATTACTTCACCAGGAAGGGGTGAAGTTCAGTTGTTCAGTTCAAGTCAAAGACTCTATAAAAATGAAACATCAGCAGCATCAGTGACACACCAGGGATGCCTGTTATTGCAAAGCTGCAGCTTGTAGACAAGATGACCTCATGAGATGAGATGTAAACAGAGTCAGCCTTGCCTGTGAAACATCCCACTGGGACTTTACAAGACTTGACTCAGCAAAAGATTTAGGTAAGAAGAGCTACACTGGCTTTAGTTACAACCTTGATATTGCATAGTGGGACTGTCATCTAGGGGATTAAAACCCCCTAAATTAATACAAGCCAACATGCCTCAATTGGAAACAAAAATCACTAGTGCATAGCTGCAATCCACATACAAGTCAGGCAAGTGTTTAGGACTGAACCCAGAAGAACATGGCTTACACAAACTCTGGAGGTGGCTCTGATCTTGGTCACTCCAGCCTAAGGAAGGAACAGAAGTATGCACTGAATTACAGCAGCTTAAATGACAAGATCAAGTCTACATTTCCCTTGCTCTCTTCTGCATGGGCACAGACACTTATCTGGCAATTACTTTTGTGTTCCTTTTATGTCACACCAGCACTAAGCAGTCCACAAAGACAGTAGGTCTCCCTGACAGCACTGAAAATCAGTGCCACTGCTTCCCTGGATAATTTGGCAGGCACATACCAGACCTATCTTCACTTCACACCTCAACCCTGGGAGCAGAGCTGGGAACATGAGAGTAGCTGAGTAATACATCTACTCTGGCTATTTTCAGCTGCTGAAGTCACCATTAACTGGCTGCTGGAGCCAAGTAAAAATCAAAGGAGCTGAGCATAAATCAAAATAGCCATAATGCCAGAATATACATGAAAGACTAGTTGGGTCCCATCACTGACCCCTCCTTTTCTTGAGCATAATGTATGCTCTACCTTACATATAAAAACCACTCAGGATCACCACATCTCAGCTTGCAAGTGTGTGTACATGCGAGTGTGTGTGCATGCAAGTGTGTGTGCATGAAATTGAAGCAGGTATGTCACAAACTGACAATCACAGTTTGAAGGCTCTATGTGAGTAATTTCATTACCAAGAGTGTGATGTAGAGGGGTGGTAGACACTGCTGTTACTATTTGTTAAGCCCTTTTATAAAATCTCAGCTCTGAGCCCAAGGAGATGTCAGGGTTTCCACTTCTCAGACAGGGCACAAACAAGCCACCAATATTTTCAAACACAAATTGTCCAGCACATGCTCCGATACGCCACATGACCCCCACCTGCAGAAATCCTCAAAGGGCCCCTTTCTCTAACAGACCTGCACAGTACCTTGAACACAGACACTTGACTAGACTAGGCAGCCTGAAAATAAAGTTTGGAGACAAATTATAAGCTGCTATTCACTTGCTCTAAAGGATCTCAGACCAGCACAACAGCATTACTGTCCACATACTCTTGTTTCCTGGTCAGCTACAGAGGAACAAGAAAGTTGCAGTGCAGTGGCATAGGACCTGGGATGACCCTTCAGGCTTCCTCTACTCTGGAACAGAGCTGTAAAAGGCACCTCCTGTCACTGCTCACAAAAGGTGCAGCAGCAACTTCTGGGAGGAAGCTGTCAAAGCCAAATACTGTCAACTGTGTCCACACAGAGAAAGAGGCTTTGGGAGCACTAAGAAGGGACTGCACAGATCATTCCCCTACCTCACCCCCCAGACATCCTGAACATCACAGACTATCAGCCAGCTACTAACAAGGGCTGAGATCCCTGCACCGCTCCTCCCCTTCCCTGTAGGCACCAAGCAAAAAGGAAAGGTGCCCCAGAAGGACCACCACAGTTCTGGCAGGAACTGACACCTCCTGCTCCCATAGCAAACCAGAGTCCCTTTCCTAAAGACAGGCTGCCTAACTGTAAGGAGGTAGCTGGGAGTTCTGCAGCACAAGGTGCATCCTGTCCCACAGCTTTAAGAAGTTTCCTCTTCTCTCCCCCGTATTAACTGTGCCAGATATTAGAGGTTTGTGCCACAGTGACTCTGAGGGAGGGCTGTGATTTTGCACCTGAGCACTGTCTCATGTATGTGGGTAGAAACGTTACAGTCTGTGCACTTGACTCCAGCTGGAAGCTCATTTTCCTCTGTGATAGGAGACTTGTGGGCAATCTGTTCCTCCATCATCAAGAGGAAAACATGCTGCACCTGCATGCAGTCTGCACCACTTAGATAGCTCTGTCAACCCTCAGCTGGAGGGCTTTCTCTGCAGACCTAAAACTCTAGGCTAAGACTACACCTGGGAAATTATTGTAAAACTGATCTGGAGTACAGCTCCGTTTGGTGTGTGGTGGAATGTCTGGGCATGGGAGGGAGAGGATGAGCAGCAGAAATGCACACACATCACTTGTGCTACAGCATTGCTGGAGTGTTCAACCTTACAACAATAGATGACAGACTGAGGGCAAGAAGAGAAAATTTACTGAGGCATTCAATTGCTGGTTCAAACCCTGGGCACCCAAGTACAGGGAAGGAGCTGTCTACCACATGCTTTGGGTTATGAACAGTCCATTCAGCCAGGACTCTTCAAATCACACAGTTTTAAACTAAGGAATTGATGCCACAGACACCTTTGTGGAATACCACAGTGGGTTCACACATTCTTTTGCCCAGGTGAGAGTGCAAGACAAGAAACAGTGTTTGTGCTCCTGGCAGGTTGAGGGCATGCAAAACTGCACACATTCATTTGCATACACTGCTTAAGAACAAACAAGAGGTGCAATGCAAAGGACTCCAAGCTAGGAAAGAGGAGATCAGAGATGGAAGTGAGATCAACAGAAGACATCTAACAGAAGGAGCGCAAGATATCAGTGCTGTTCCTGCTCCATCCTCTCCCTCAAAGCTACCTCTACACTACAGGACGACTTCAGGGAAGAATCCATCTGAAAGCAGGAGGGAAGTGTTGGCCACACCTTTACATGCATTGACAGTGGCTAGGTAATTGGCCTGCAGGAGGTTTCACAGCAATTCTGCTGGCAGATTTGGCCCATCCAGACAGATCAGGACAAGGGGAACAAATACAAGAAGTGCCACAGTAGATTCACTTGGAGAGTTTGCAGTTAACAAAATCCATTCAGCTTTGCATGGGTTAAATTTTGCATAAAATCCCATTCCAGATAATAGCTCTTTAATTCCATTTGATACAAAGCTTCCTGCAAAAGGGATATTTACTGGTACTTTTTAATTACAAAAAAACCCATAAATTGTCTGTTTTACTGTCTGTGCTAATTACATTTCATTATATATTTGGAGTAAGCTATGATTTTCCTGCTGGTTCCCATGACATTTTTCATTATCAACCACTAATTGTCTAGCACGCACACTGCATTGTGAACCAAGTAGGCTGATGTGTGGGCAGAAGTTCTAGAGAAAGCTGCAAGGCAGTAGAAGTGCACATTGTTATTATTATTACTATTACGATGTATTAGAAAGGTTCCACCTACTTGCATACCTACATATCCTCAACCCTATCAGCAGCATCACAGTGCAGCAAAGCTCAGGAATCCATCTGTAACAAGCCTTGTGCTTAACAAGGCTCAGCAGCTACTGGAGGAAAGTTAATGTGGGGTGAAACGATGACAGCAGCCCCACTGCAAGGACAAGTTCCCTGCTATGTGCAATGGAAACACCAAGAAGGTTTCTCAGTCACTTCCTCTACTCGGTGCCCAAAATGTGTGGGTATCACTTTGCCCACTCACAGTCTGAGGCCAAGGTTATAAAGGAAAACAGTGCCATATGTGGATTACTAAAGGAATAGGATAACTAATGGGATCTTTGTGAGAGGGATCAGAAAAAGACAGAAAAAAGGGAAAGGGGTTTCATGAGCTACAGCTAACACTGTTTCCATTATAGCAAAACCTCCAAAGAATCCATATCTATGCAAACTCGGAAAGTGCTACAAAGGGTGAAGCGACTCACTGCACACAGCA